TATGTGTGTATGTATATATCTATCTATCTATATATCTATCTATCTATCTATCTATCCATATATATATATATATCACAACCTGCATAAAACCATGCCCTGGCACACCTTTGTTCCAGCAACGTTGCATAGCCTCGAAACATCTGGCCTCCCCCTACCAACAAGATAGACGTGTACATCTTCTTCATAATCTCATCGCCAGCCCCTACACCAGAGGCAGCCTCGCCACACTTTGCTATAGAGAATGCAATGAGATCGTCGATGCCTTTGAGTGCGCCTATGGCCTTTTCTACTTCCACTGAGTCTTGCATCTTCTTCTCGGCATTGGCCCTTTCCGACCGCGCAATCTCTGAGCACGGGCATGGTATGAGAACGAATAAGACCCATCAGTATGGCATTCATTGTATAGTTGTATTAACAGTGTTAAGCAATAATAAGAATACTGGTCAATCAGATGCACAAATCCAGTTAGAGAAGTAATACACCCGCATGACGTTGACTAACATCTTGACGACTGCTAATCAAATACATGTGATAAAAGCAACATATAGGCAACGTGACTTTACTTGTATACCATTACGTAGGAGAATTGCTACAGCAAGGTAAACACACGAATCAAAGCCATTCAAAAAGTACAACAAGTGTATCTGCAAAGTAATGAAGGGCAGCATTGCCATTGCTAGTCAGCCCCATCCATTGAAAACAGTAGCTAAAAAAAACATCCTGAAAGCAGTGTAATATACCTGCACAACACTGATGGGTAGCTTTGTTACTGCAAGTCAAACACACACATCAAAAGTATTGGAAATAAGAAACATCTCGAGAGCAATGTAGTATACCTACCTGCATAACACTGGTGAGCACCACTGCTACTGCCAGACCCTACGGTGCCCGTACTAGAGCGCTCGGCCGTGCCCCCAACATTAGTCGCCACCCGTGCTGTACCGGTAGTCATCTGCGAGCCCAGAATGGGAATATGGGTGCGCAAATGGCTCATAAACGACGCCTTGTTGGGGAACGCCTTACCGGCTTCTCGCTCACACCCTTCCCATTCGCACTTGTGCCCACCCATGGCTTTGACGGGTATGTGGGTGTCCATAACATGAGTCCAAACGTCCAAGAGGGCAGGGCCGTATGACTCGCGCTCGGAGACGCACCCCTTCCAGGCGCATTGGGGTGCTCCGGGTGGGATGGTGATGCCGTTGGTGCTCTTGGCATCTGACGAAGAATCGTTTTTGTTCCCATCTGCGGGACAGATGTAGGTATGTGCAGGTTGGTAGCGTCAATAGCCATAAAGGGTTTAGGGTTTTAGGTTGGTAGCGTCAATAACCATACAGCAGTATTGACCCCGTGTGTGGGTCAGATGTGTGTGTTTGAAGTATCAGGAAGCATCAGAAAAGAACCCGTATAGAATAGACGCGTGCAAGCCAAGCTGCAATTCCTAGATAGATAGAGCGCAGAGAATACTCCTCGTTTATAGTACAACAAAATTTGGTGAACGCGTGTCCTAATATGATATCCAATCGCAGACTAATGTGTTGATATATGTATTTGTCAATACATATGCGGGGACAAGTACAGACAAAACACCAGGCACCCACACTAAGCGCCGCGTGCAACCGAGCTCAGATAACATGCGTACTCGTGAACAGATGACCCGTGCAGGAACATCGAACGACTACTTTCTCATAGATGGATACGATGAAAGTTTTTAGAGGTACTCTAGTCTCCCAAGAGGCTTGTACCCTACCCAACACTGAGCTGAACCTATCTCCATTTGTAAATGCAGTCTGTTCAACCTACATGAGGGCCTAAATTGCAACGCATGCCCTCTCCCAGCGCCCACACACAGAACTGGGTGCCTGTGTTGCCTAGAGACATGCACTATCATTAGCACTCCTATGTATAAAAAGGCAAGCAGGCAAGGGTGTAGGAAGGGATACGAGTGAAGGCCAGCACACTGGCTACTGGTGAGAAATATTTCGGTACATACACATACAACTTCTTCGTGCGTTGAACGAAGTGTGTGTGGCTTGTGCCGGGTTGCTTGTCTTCCTGTGCGAGCCTTAACGAGCTCTACACTATAGCGGACCTGTAACTCAACCGCAGTACAGGATACGGTATATACAAACAACACACACTACCACACAGTGTTCATTCATCTGGACCGCTTACCAGTAGTCAGGCCGTCGCTGGACGCACTCTTGGGCTGATCTTTCTTTGTTGCCTCGGGTTTGGCTATGCTGGGCACCACTTTGGACAACTGGTTGAAGTTGTACCGAGTGGGGTACTGCAGAGTGGATACTTCGCTGATAAAGGCGTCGTCGAATGCATCCGTTGGATCTGTGTCGTTGACTTGCCGCGTTTGCAAGTCCCGCACTATAAACCGCGTACCCTGTCTGTTATTAAGCAATAGTAAGGAATATAAACCTTTAAAATTAAAACATAAATGAAAAACACGGGATGGGATGCTGTATACCATACCGAACGACAATGCGTTATGTATGGCAGTACATATCGAAAATACGTAACGTACGACAATACAGAACAACAATACATGATGTACGACAATCCGCAACGTACGACAATACTCAACGTACGACAATACAGAACAACAATCCTCAACGTACGACAATGCAGAACGACAATACTAAGCCTACGACAATGCAGAACGACAATACCCAACGTACGACAATACAGAACAACAATACTCAACGTACGACAATACAGAACAACAATACTCAACGTACGACAATACAGAACGATAATACTAAACGTACGACAATACAGAACGACAATACCCAACGTACGACAATATAGAACAACAATACTCAACGTACGATAATACAGAACGACAATCCTTTACGTTCGACAATACAGAACAACTATGCCCAAAGTACGACAATACAGAACGACAATACGCTACGAACGACAATACAGAACGACAATACCCAACGTACGACAATATGGAACGACAATACGCTACGTACGACAATACAGAACGTCAATACTAAACGTACGACAATACAGAACAACAATACCCAAAGTACGACAATACAGAACGATAATACTTTACGTACGACAACAAAGAACAACAATACCCAACGTACGACAATACAGAACGACAATACGCTACGTGCGACAATACAGAACGGCAATACTAAACGTACGACAATACAGAACAACAATGCCCAAAGTACGACAATACTGAACGACAATACTTTACGTACGACAACAAAGAACAACAATACCCAACGTACAACGATACAGAACAACAATACTCAACGTACGACAATACAGAACGACAATACGCTACGTACGACAATACAGAACGGTAATACTAAACGTACGACAGTACAAAACAACAATACTTTACGTACGACAATACAGAACGACAATACTCAACGTACGACAATACAGAACGAGAAACGAAGTATGAACATAACCCTAATCTGTCAAACCAAACACCACATACTTGTGCTTGTTGTACTTCGCCGTGCCGATTTTCTTGAAATTAAATAGGATCAGGGGGCATTTCACGGCATCGTGACTGATCCGGAATGAGTACTTTACCGCCAGCGGCATGGTTGGTTGCCGGACCTACGCAGCATGAATAGCGCAGATAGTTCGGTACCAAGAAAAACAACCCAAACAAAACAAAGTGAGTTTTCTGCTTTGTTTAATGCCCCTCATGCTTGTTTGCACACGGTACGACGCGAGTTTGTCAATGAAATACAAAATGTAGTTTCCTGTTCTATTCTATTCAGTGCCCCTTGTGCTTGTTTCCGCACAATATCGTGCACTACCACACTACGGTATAGTGTATTACAGTCAGTTAGACTATACTTGACTCAGCGATGCTAGCAATGTGAACGCACGACATGCGAAAGGCCGTCATTGCAACTGCATGTTGTTGCCGATACACCAACTGGTTTCTGCGGATAGAATAAAACTGACCAACCGTCACTTTCTACAGCGCAACCAGAAGTGTACTCTCACTATTAATACACTCAGGTGCGCCGACTCCCTCTATTTCGGGAGGATGAAAGTCTGAACTACGAAACCCTGCATAAACGTTTAGTTGCTAAGTATCGCCTTTCTTGCACTGTAGAAAAAGGTTGCCATACCATTCGAGAGGAAACACAACTTTTTGTATGTTTCTGTTATGTGTACGCCATGTATTATTTTGGTATGTATATATATATATATGTGTGTGTGTGTGTGTGTGTATATACTTGTGCTTGTGTATAGTATATGTATATATATACACACACATGGAATACATAAAGCTCATAATAAAGCAACCATGACCCGTTCTATGCACCAACCTAGGTAATCAAGGTACAATACCCTTGGACCTACAAACAACTGTTCCCCACACACACTCCCACACATCCACGTGCGGAGCTATGCAAAGGTGGCCCACAAGAACTGGTACAAAACATCATAGATGCATTCAAGGTCCAGAAATCGAAGGCAGGATGAGGCTAACCTCGATTTTTTTACAAGACTATCTGAACCGCCTATCATAGTGGACAGTTAAGGTACTCAGAATACACATCACACGCCATTAATCTACTCACAGTAGTGTGCACGTATACATACACATACACATACATATACACATACACATACACATACACATACACATACATATATGTATATATATATATATATATATATATATATCCATACAGATACAAATACATATACATATGCACATACAGATATAAATACAAATACATACCCATATACACATACACATCACGGGATATAATACACATACCACTAATTTTATGGGCTCGGCATTGAGACTCTCTTTGGGCACCAGATGACAGTGGCCTTCCTTGATACTGGACATCATCCGCCAGTCGAGCGTGTTGTTCAGATCCAGTTCTTTATATGGGAACTTCACCTTCGTTAACCTCGCTTTCAGCTCTCTGGTCACGTCATCGCCACCGTATCGCAACGATACGCGCGTTTCCGGTATGGACATCCCCTCCTCAATACAGCTCACACTGATCTTAGACGCTCCTACGTCCACCACACACGCGTGTGACAATCCAGCCCCGAACGTGGCACACACACCTTCTTGATGTAGGTATATGCCTCGGAAGCCCATCTCCTCCAACAGAACCTCTGTCATTACACGGACATGCCGTTTCCGGTAGGAATCCGGAATCAGCAGCATGATACGTTTCTCAGGGAATTGGGACTTCGGTATATTTAACACATCCTCTACCGCATGGGTCCAGATGCTCACCAGATCTTCGCGTACGGCTTCATATGTACTATTTTTGGGTATGTCAAGCAGACCGAACCGACAGGGGTATGTGATCTGCGGAAAGGTGTCAGAGATGCAATAAATTTAATTTTATATATTGTGTGACAATTGTGCATCAGTTGCATATGGGCCAGATGGCAGATACGCGGACTCGTACATCAATAGATGCGCAGATATGTGTGCCACTGTAAACAGTGTGTGTGTGATGAATTCAACGTATGCTACATGAAGTTGTCATGCACATATCATCTCCACGTTTCTAAACTCTAAGTGACAGTGGATCTAGCTG